GACCTGTTCGAATGTGTGGAGACGGAAGCCGCGGAAATACCGGAGCTGCAAGAACTGGTGAACGACACGACGGCGAAAAAGGAAGAAAAGGAGAAGCAGCGGGAAAAACGACGGAAGCAGGACCGAAAGTGCCGGTCGCTGCTCATCTCGGGGATCAGTGATTCCCAACTCGAATACGTCCAGGAGAAGAAGACCCCTAAGGAGATTTGGGATGCCCTCAAACGGGTGTTCGAAAGGCGGAGCATCGCCAGCCGGATGCATCTGAAGCGCCAGATGCTGAGTCTGCGTTTCGAGGGCGGCTCGCTTCGCGATCACTTTTTGTGCTTCGACCGGCTCGTTAGGGCGTATCGTGCGACTGGAGCGGAGATGGAGGAGCTTGACATCGTTTGCCACTTGCTTCTCACGTTGGGGCCATCGTTCTCGACCGTGGTAACGGCCATCGAGACCATGCCGGAAGACAAACTGAGCCTCGAATTTGTGAAGTGCCGGCTGCTCGATGAAGAGGTGAAGCGGAAGGGAATAGGTGCAGAATCGTGCACCCCAAAAGGTGACTCGGCTGCGTTTTCGACCAGGAAGCTGGAAAAGAAGAAGAAGAAAATGCTACAGTGTTTCGGGTGTAAACAAGAGGGCCACAAGCTGGCCGACTGCCCGAAGAAGAAGGAAAGTGAAACGAAGAATGTGAAACAAAAATCTCGAGCGCATCTCGCTGAGGGTGGTGGTGTTTGTTTCGTGGGCGTTGCCGAAGGCGCCGTCGCGCCAGATGAGTCCAGCCGGTTGCAGTGGTTCATAGATTCCGGCTGCTCGGACCATCTGGTAAATGATCGGGCGCTGTTCGACAAACTGGAGCCGCTGGAAACTCCGGTGGAGATCGCCGTTGCGAAGAACGGAGAGACGATTTTGGCGAAGCAGTCGGGAACGGTAAGGGTGTTGGCCCTTGTTCAAGGTAAATACACTGAATGTTTTGTAAGCAATGTACTTTTTGTGCTCGAGTTGCGGTGTAACCTCTTCTCCGTGTTAAGGGTCGATCAGATCGGGATGAAAGTGACCTACGAAAGCGGGAAAGTGTGGATCCACCGTGGATCAAAGCTCGTCGCGTGTGGCTCGCGGTATGGAAAACTGTATCGTCTGGATTTCTTTACGGAAGAGCGTGGCGCGAGTGAATCGCTTATGTCCTGTGGGCGAATTTCGAAGGATCTCGAACTATGGCACCGTCGGTTCGGCCACCTCAACACGAAGAGCATCGAAAAACTGATTCGGGAAGAAATGGTCGTCGGACTGAAACCGACCAGCGGTTGTGCGGACAAGCAAATCGTCGTGTGCGAACCGTGCGTAACCGGGAAGCAGACCCGAAAGCCGTTCGTTGTGCGCGATACGAAACGGTCGTCGCGAGTGCTGGAGTTGATACACTCCGACGTGTGCGGGCCAGTGACGCCGGTTGGCCTTGACGAGGTGAGATATTTCGTCACCTTTATTGATGACTGGTCGCATTTTACGATGACATTCCTAATCGCGACGAAGGACGAAGTTTTCGAGTGTTTTCGGCAGTACGAGGCATACGTGACCGCGAAGTTCGATCAGCGAGTGTGCCGCCTTCGCTGCGATAACGGCGGAGAATATAGAAGCAAAGAGTTCGATCGTTTCTGCAAAGGGCATCCAGGTTGAGTGGACGGTTCCTCACACTCCGGAGCAGAACGGGGTGAGTGAGCGGATGAACCGCACCCTGGTCGAGAAGGCGAGGTCTATGCTGGAAGATTCCCAGATAGACAAGCGGTTCTGGGGGCAGGCTATCCAGACAGCGGCTTACCTAGTCAATCGCAGTCCTTCGAGTGCGCTGGATTCCAACGTGACACCGTTCGAACTCTGGGAAGGCCGGAAGCCGAACGTCAGCAAGCTGCGAGTGTTCGGTTGCCCTATGTTCGTGCACATACCGAAGGAGCATCGTAAGAAGCTGGACGCAAAGGCGTGGAAGGGGACCTTCGTGGGGTACACGCACAATGGCTACCGTGTGTGGGATCCCAGAACGAAGAAGATAGTTCACGCGCGCGACGTGGATTGTATCGAAGGCGGTATGATCGAGTCGGACGGAAGAAAACCGAGTGCCAGTGGCTTCGTCAAGATTCCGGGGATCCGTTCTGATCCGAAAGACAGTGATGACGAGGAGGAGATCGAAGATCCGGTGTCTGACGATTCTGATTCGGATGACGAGTCATCTGACGATTCGGATGACGAGTTCGGAAGCTTCGAGGAAGAAGAAGATGCGAGTGAACCAGCGGCTGAACCGGTGGCGGGGGCACAGGCCCAAGCGCCAACTGGTGGCAATACGGAAGGAAGACCGCAACGACACCGAACTGCTCCGGCGTGGCACGACGACTTTGAGGTCGAATACGCTGGGTACGCCCTCAACGCAATGAACTACGTGGAGAACCTGCCAACGACTGTTGCTGAGGCTAGGAAGCGGGACGATTGGAGTAAGTGGGAAGCTGCCATGAGAGACGAAATGGACTCCCTGTCGAAGAATAAGACCTGGCACTTGGAGAAGTTGCCGCCGGGACGCTCGGCTGTGACAAACAAGTGGGTGTTCCGGATTAAGCGTGGACTGAACGGTGAACCCGATCGCTATAAAGCTCGGCTTGTGGCGAGGGGTTTCAGCCAAAAATTCGGATTCGACTACACGGAAACTTACTCGCCCGTCGCCAAGCTCGACACACTGCGGACGGTGCTTGCTCTGGCGAACCACAAGAACATGGTAGTCCACCAGATGGACGTGGCTACGGCTTTCCTGAATGGGAAGCTCAACGAGGAGATATATATGGTGCAGCCTGAGGGTTTCGAACGTGGTGACGGTCTGGTGTGTCGGCTGGACAAGTCGCTGTACGGCCTTAAGCAAGCCTCGAAAGCATGGAACGACCGGTTCCATGGCTTCATAGTGGAACGGCTGGGGTTTACCAGGAGTGCGAACGACCAGTGTTTGTACTTGAAGCAGATCGGCAAGGAGACGGTGATTCTTGTGATTTACGTTGACGATGTGGTCCTTGCTGGACCGACTCTGCGAGCTGTTGAAGCCGTGAAGCGCTGTCTAGCATCGGAGTTCCAGATGACCGACGGCGGTGAGATCCGCTGTTTCCTCGGAATGTGCATCGATCGCGACGTTGAAGGAAAAGTTCTGAAGATCAGTCAGAGGCGTTTTCTTTAAGATCTGCTCCGTAGGTTTGGCATGGACGAATGCAAGCCTGTCTCCACTCCACTAGAAGTGCGACTCAAGTTGGAGAAGGGGACCGAAGAAAAGCGAACGACGCAACCGTACAGGGAGCTAGTGGGTTGCCTTACCTACGCGTCGTTGACAACTAGACCTGATCTGGCGGCAGCTATCAACTACTTTAGCCAGTACCAGAGCTGCCCAAATGATGCCCATTGGGTACACCTGAAGCGGATACTTCGGTACATCAAGGGCACTCTTGACTTGTGTCTAGTGTACAAAGCAGATGAAGCGGCAGCGGTTCTCGAAGTGTATTCAGATGCGGATTGGGCGAATGATACATCGGATCGCAGATCAATCAGCGGCTGTCTCTTCAAGGTGCTAGGGTGCACTATTGGATGGATCACTCGGAAGCAGAAGACGGTGTCGCTTTCGTCCACCGAAGCGGAGCTGAATGCTCTGTGTAACGCGGCATGTCATCAGATGTGGCTGATTCGTCTTTTGAAGGATCTCGGTTTGGACTCGGATGAACCAACTACCTTTTTCGAGGACAATCAGTCTACTATAAGAATTTCGGAGAGTTCGAAGGATTTCGGGCGCTTAAAGCACGTGGACGTGAAGCTTCAGTTCCTGAAGGACCTTGTGCGAGAAGGGCGGATTCGTCTTGAATATCTCCGCTCTGAGGACCAAACAGCGGACATTATGACGAAGGGTCTGCCAGTTGGTGCTTTCCGGCGTCATCGTATCGGCATCGGCTTGATCGGTAGCAATGGTTGAAGGAGGGTGTTAAGTGTACAACACTGCTACCTACTGCCCCCCCCCCTTTTATTGGCACCACTGTGCAGTGAGCTCCATCTGAGCTGTCAAACCAATTTCATTCAATCCAACCTGTAAACCTAAAAGCAATAAACACGTTTCTTTTTCTGTGAGTTTTTCTAAACCGTTTCTCGTGTTATTTTCTCCTGTGGCCATTCCATAACTCTGTTAGTACGGTGTAGAGATTACATGCCTTACCGCCGAGAAAGCCGTGCAGATTTTGGAACCGGTGTATAACGGCAACGTTCGAACTGTCTTCGGTCTCCCTCTACCCCGGCTGACGCTACATGCGTTGAAGCCGGTATCCTACCTTTTCGGCTCGTTTTCACCGCAGTGCTGCCTTTCTCGCTAAAACGTTGGGAAACAACAGGCTCGTTCTCCTCGACGAGGCGAACTGACTCCTCCGCACGGCCGCCGACGTAGATCTCTCTCCAGAGACCAGGGTCCACTGGCACGGAGACAAAAGTTGGCAATCGCACAAGATTAAAATTGACAGCCGAATCAAGGACCACTTCAGGGCAGGAGACAACTCGCAGGCTTTACGCCGGACAATTGTCGAAACTATCGGGGCGCACTACCAAGGTTATGAAGTTAGGTACACCGACGGCTCTCTCTCCAGGAGCGGAGTGGGAATGGAGGTCTCCGGAGATGGTGTGCTTGTGAGCAAATCGCTCCCGACCCAATGCTCGGTGTTCTCAGTTGAGGCAGTGGCCATTCCCCACGCGGTTAAGCTACCGGCCAACCGGCCGATATTAGTCGTAACTGACTCACACAGCGTGATATTGGCCCAAACAACAGAAAAACCGAAGCATCCGTGGATCCAAGGAACGGTAAAGCACGCGCCGTCCAACACAGTATTCATGTGGGTACCCGGTCACTGCGGGATCCAAGGGAACCTAATAGCCGACCACCTCGCCGGCTCAGGCCACACCGGACCCAGGTCCACCGGCAATGTACCGCTCCAAGATGTCAAAATGGTAATCCTCAAAATTATATGTTTTCAAATTTGACATCTCTGCTGAATACTATTACTATGTTACACGAAATTTTAGAGATTGACTGTCCATTAGAAAAATGTTACATCCATTCACTTCAATAAATTAGATCACGGCAGAGCCAATTACCCCAGCAGCGCGGCCAGCGGTGTGATTGCTGACCTACTTAATATCTCCACTCTTCTGCTAAATCAAATTAGCTTAAACTAATGGCCGCAGGTACTCGTGACGAGGTACGAGATTGATTAGATTCGGAAAGTTCATAAATATTTCCACCGTTTGGTAATGCTCGCTTCGCCCAGATCTGTATCTAGGTACGTATATCGAAGGTACCCACATGGGACATATGCGTACCTTTATACAAAAAGTGATTGTACTCCTAACGATACAAACACCGGATTCGGATACACATCGAGTTAAAATTAATTACTTTACCACACCGTTTCAGGATTTACCTACATTACACTACACCGGCAGGGACAAACTTCCAGATGCCGGATTTTCCGCTCCGGTAGTTTCATGATTGGCTGGTGTTGGTCGGTGACACAAAATATAAATCGAACGTTTCGACACGGGATGGCGTACAATGAACGATAACATATGGGAATCTTATTATGGCTTGGATGGATTGACCCTTCCGGAAACCAGCATCTGTTTGAACCGTTTGAAAATAGACTGAAAGTTACGAATGTTTTTTTTTGGGTAGGAATTGAAAAGTGCTTTTTAAAACTTGAATCTCATCGACCGACATACATAAAACCACTGAAACACAATCAACGAATCGAAGTGATCGAACATCGAATCAGAATCCTTACAAACTAAACCACACACACGCTGCTGTCTCTCCTTCCTTGACTTTAATTTGTTCATTCATTTTCCTAATCTCCTACGAATACAGAACAAAAACCGAATGTTCCATCTACTATAATATCTGCTGCAGTGCGCGTGCGAATAAAAATACATATTCTACAAGGCTTGCTAAAACCTAAATCCGGGAATATTTTGACTCGGAAAACGTTAACAAACGAAATCGCATCCTTCCGGGTTAAAAAACGTGTTAAATTACAAATACAATTTTCACTACTGTTCTAGATATCACGAAAGTTCCTGCGAATACTGCGTCTCCAGCGTCGTGGGTGGTCGCCGGGTGCCACCGGAAGCGGCCGCGGCAGCAGCTGCCGCCCGGGCCGCCGCCACGGCGTTGGCCGCTGCCGCTGTGTTCGTCCGGAGCGGGGCCATCGGGGGCGGGCCCGGACTGCCGTAGCCGGTGGAGTACAGCTGCGAGCAGGAGTCCTTGATCAGTTCCTGCGTTTCACGGATTTGGCGTTGAACTTGCGGTGCTAGACGTTGAACCGATATTGCTGGTGGGAAACGGGGTGCGTCCGAGGGTGGGGTTTGCTGTTGTTGGAGCGAGGGGCTGGAGGATAGCAGATTCCCGCTGCCACCGACCGCTACGACCGATGAGAGGGAGGACGAAGGACCACCTCCGGCTGTCGAGAGGGAGGATGAGACGGACGATATGCTAGAGGAGGATTGCTGTTGCTGCTGCTGCTGCTGCTGTTGTTGTTGCGATTGCAGTTGGCTGGAGGAGAGCTGGAATAAAAGAGAGAGGTTGGAATCTGTCGTTAGGTATAGTATTATTCACATACAAGACATACATGCTTAGATTTTTTTGCCGAAATGGGCACCACCGAGCAGCTTGGCATTTTATTTTGGTGGATCTCAGTGAAAAACTTGCTGAGAATCAGCAAAATTAATGTTTGAGCTGAGATCTCTTCAAAATTCCCGGTTGAGATCCAGCAAAATAAAATGCCGAGCAGCTCGGTGTTGTCCATCCCGGCAAATAAAAAAAAAATCTAAGTGTGTATAATTTATTCCGAAGTTATCTAGACACAAAAAGTAGGGTAGAGAACTACTTCGACCTAATTGCCCATTTTGGGCCTATCGAGCAGAAAACATCAAATAAATCCATGATTCCAGAGTTAACAAGTCAATTATGCGTTTGGTACGATAGTTTAGTTAATAAGCTACGGAACGAAGTCAATGAGAACGCGTGATATGAATGTTTGTACCGTAAAACGAAGTAACATGTTTTTTAAATTATATTCTAAATAATTTTTACAGCAATGATTGTTTTTCCAATTTTATATTTTTAAAACAAGTACTGAGGATCCAAGAGTCAATTCGTAAGTAATATGTTTAACGGAAAATAAAGCATTTGAACTATTTTTTTAGTTTTGCGAACGAACTTCAGTTTTTTGATTTGGGGCTGCTTCCAGTTTGATTACATGAGCATTTTGTGTGGTCGTTGGTTCTGAATATGGACAAACAGGCAGATGAATTCTATTCCTACTCTTTATTGTAATAAGCTTGGTGGCCCTGAAAAGAGCCGTTTTGTTGCCAAAGTTGGTGATGATTTAACCTCCGAAACCAAACAGAGTGCGCCTCTGTCACTTCAAAACGTAGATGACATCCATGGCCGCTTACGCTTGGCATGTTTAGTGTAGGTGACAGCATCACGGATCTCATTTTTCAGGAACACCTTCAGCACACCTCGTAAATCAGACCGGATATACGTCAGACACCGCCACGGCGAGCCAGACGACGGATGGTGGTTATCTCAAAGAATTTGCGTTTGGTTCTGAATATGGCGATGAGTGTGCAAAATATTACGCAATTCCATTATCCCTATTCGCACGCACCCGAGGATCAGAGGCGAATGCCACTTCGACTTGTAGTAGCAGCATATGCATGTAGGTAAATGGTGGATTTGTTAGTTAATTCGACGCTTTTGGACAATGCTGGACATTTACCAGTTTTTCAATAGTTTCTTGTTGAAAATAAACATTTGGAATCATTGTTATCGATGCGTAGCCATATTTCTGATCGATTGGTGATAAAATTATTGAAATTGGACCAGGGGCAGCTGAGTTATTAACGTTGAAAATCTTTCTTAATTTGTTACATGTTCCATTTTCGGTTTTCACAAAGTGTATCCCCATATAGAAATCAAAGACGTAGTTCTACGTAAAAAAAAATACATTTCCCAAGACACAAAGTCACTAAAATTACTCGTTTTGGAGATTTGTTCCATTAGATTGCATTCCTGGACCAATGTGCAGTGTACTGAGTAGTGTGCGGAGTGTAATTTGGTTGCTTCTATCATAATTTGAGGAGCTTTACATCCCTACTGGGGCGTTTATAATTTGTAAAGTTTCAAATTTCCAAAAGTTTTCATATTTTCTTGACTTGATTTTTTTTTTAAATTCTTATGCTTAACAAATCACGATTAAGTAAAATTTCAAAATTTCGCGAATTCCGAAGTTCTTTAATCTAGATCATGGAAAAATGAAATATTCTGATTCTACAATTTCATACTAAGGAAAGTATTGAAGATCCCGAGAAAACTTTTTTTTTATTGATGTTGGACATATCAAAAATGGCAAGAATGTAGATCAAGATAACACGAGTACAGTGTTGAGATTCTTAATCTTAAAAAAAAAAATGAAAAAAAAAGTTTATTGTGAGACTTTGAAATATATTATACAAGGAGAATTTGCAAAACTTCTGAGGTCTTGGGAAATCGAATTTAACAAGCTTGGATTTCGTTTAAAAAAATACAATCAACTTACACATGTGCAGTATCTCGGACTGTTACAATTTTCAAAATTTTGGAGACTTGCTTACTAACGTATAATAGAAGCACCACGGAGCACTAGTAGATTTTTTCAGAGCATTGAGCACGATTTAAAAATCCCTGACTTAAGCAGTAATCATCCTTCCTACTTTGAACTTCCAAAACACAACAAGAAATCACATCCTTCGGCACCGGAAAAAAGGTCTCGTCTCATTTGTCCGAAACAAATCAAACCACAACAGCTCAGCACAATAAGAGCCCGATTACAACAATAATCACTTTATACAAATCTCTTGCAAGGCATTAACTTTTCAAGCACTCGACTTCCCCATCCATTATGCTCTCATGACGACGACCGACCTATATATGTACACAAACGTAGGCAGCTGTTCCGAATGCTTTGCCATGTCCTTCCGCCTAAGCGTCCGTGTTCCTATTCCGAAAATGCCATTGTTATCCCTTCAGAAAGCACGAAATTGCTCTGATGAACTCATTCATAAACATGTACACATGCCCTCCTGTTCCTGGCTTCCATCATCCTCAGACATTCCCGATTCGAAAGGTATCTAATTGTGGCAATTTATCGGTCCTGCATCTGCAGGCCCTCTCTTCTTATCCTGCTCATCCAGGACCCAGCTATTTAGATGATCACAGGTACAGTGTTGTCTGAGGTGGTGTGAATGATAACGAGACCTTTTTTTTCAGAAAACCGGGGTACAAAGCAGACGCAAGAAATATTCCATTGCGTTTCCAATTCGTTATTTATGTAGTGATAAATTATGCTAAGAAGTCCTTTGCCATTGCATGGCACGAACGAATGGAAAGCCTTCGTTCTTTCTTATAGTCTAAGTGTTAGCACTTGGGTAGAAAGGATCGAAGTTATATGGTTATGCACGAGCCAAAAGTCTAGACTTTTGAACAACAAGGATTCAAGCCAAACACGGCACAACCGAAAGTTTGAAGGCGGAGCAGCATCATCTTCAGTGGTCAAGCAATTGTTCAATGAAAAATTTGGGAAAAGCACTCTAAATTATGCAAATTCCCCTCTCAAAACGAATTTTCTGTGCACCGTTTATGTTTCCTTCCAGACATCATTCTGCCATCATCGCCACAAACACCAGCTGCAATTTCAGGATTTTCCCTTTGAACTACTGCTGCCTTTATGTTATTTTTTCCCTCTCTCTCTCTCCCTCTCCCGATTGTTATTGCAGTCATCGTACACTTCCTTATTTTCTTCCCGAAAATTTCGCTTTCTAATGCTGCCGTTGTTGTTGTTATTATTGATATGTTTGTGTTCCAGTGAAAGGCTATATCGGAGAAAGATCCTTGCAACAGCCTCCTGCTTGCTTGAATTCGAAAACTGCACAATCGCGCGCTACCGAAGCAGACCGTTTCTCGTTAGTCTTGCTCAATCTCTTTAAACGAGCAAACGTGAAATTTTAGTCCTTTGGGTTCGTTTTCTCGGTTACATTTTGGTGGAATTTAAAGTCTCTGGTCGGGTGATGGGTTGCTTTTCGGATATCAAATTTCATGGTTATTTCATCGGGATGCTGGCCGGGCTGCTGGAAGTGGCATCGTTAGGTCTGTCGCTGTACTTTTACTTCGGAGGCGGTGATAATGATGGTGGAAATGGCTTGCCGATGGATGGTAAGGATGATTTGAAATGATCATCGATGGAGTTTTATGTTGATTCTATGATTTCTGTTCTGCATTGTAGTGCGAGATTTGGTCAGTACTTCGTACGTGGATTTCATCGGTGATGGCCTTATACTAGTAGCTGTTGCCCTGATGATGTACGGGATTTATAAGGTTAGTTAAAACAATTGTTTTGATATAAAATGATGGACATGTGTTTCGATATTCTGTCGCTCAAGGCATGTTTGTCCAATAGCGCAAATCAGCTAGCCGATAAAAATGCGTTTTAAGTTTATTTTGTACCATTGCTTCTTCTGTGATTGGACAACTAGTTTGGGTGCTTTTTCAAACTTTCTCAGAACAAAGTTGCTATATTATGCAAATATAGGCTTTCTTTAGGTGACTCATTGAAGCGTCCAACAATGACCGTCATGATGGCTGATATTCCCTATCACTTCAAGATTTCTAGGGCATAAATCTTGGACGGTCGTGACTTCACTCATGAAATTGATACTCCTTGTGTACTGCACTGCAGCAAACGTGAAGTTCCAGTTTCTTTGTTATAAGTTTCGTGAGAGCTGATATTTGTGCTCTTGAAATGTTTATGTGGTACTGAGATTGATCAGAAATGAGGTTTCCTCAGCTATTCAGCTTCAAAAAGAATGTACACACAAAAACGGAGTGCACAATTTTGCACCAATGTTATGCAACATTTCGTAGTTTGTTGATCGGGATGATCTCGATTAGGCATAAATCCCTCCAGTAAGTTCTCGGTACATCTTTTATCTACCGATTGAGCATAAAAATACTAAATATTGCTGTTTTTTTTTAAAGATTTCGTTCGCGTTTTGTAGACGCACATGTATAATTTGTCATAAGAACACGGGGCGTTTCTGTGGTGGGAAAAAAGTGACTTCCATATCTATCACAGATTACAAATTCGACAGTGTGCAATACTTATGCAAAATTTGACTTTTTTGCTCCATAGTGCTTAAATGGTTTCAAATCGGGTCCTGATTAGCCTCCCAAAGTTACAACTCATTTGGTAAGAAACAGGCTTCGCACAAGCCATTTGAAGTTTACACGTAAATTACTATGGGAAATCTCAACTTTTTGTTCATTGCCTTCTAGTCTTTTTCCATATTGAGCTGTGAAACAGTTCTATAGCCATTCTTATAGAAAATTTTCTCAGCTACAACTTTGCTTAAGATTGTTTCTATATAAAACGAGACAGGAAAAAGTTATTGATTATTTAAGAGATTGGTAAACTTATGACATGATCAAGCAGCTGCTCTGTAGGCAACACTGTATTTTGCAGTGTGACATAGTAGCCATGATTTTTGTGTCCTATTCAACGCCCCAGAAACACCAATGTTGGCTGCTGAGCAGTTGATTGAGCATGATCATAAGACATCAGCGCATTGAACCAACTTTCGATCCTTGCATTTAATCAAAAAGTGGTCTTGAGCAAAGTTGTAGCTGGGAAAATTTCCTACAAGAACAATTGAAAGCTTTTGAAGCAGACCCTTATGGTGAATTATTAGATAGACATGAACAAAAATCTTGGTTTTACCACACTAATTCCCATACAAACTTCAAATGGTTTGTGCCATCTCAGTCTCTCACCAAATGCGTTCAAATTTTGAGAGGTTAGTCAGGATCTGATTTGGAATCGTTTAAGTATTGTGGAGCGAAAATTTCAAATTTTGCATCACTCTAGGGAGCATACACAAGGACGTAACCGTGATCGATTTTCTCGCTTGGATTAACATTTCTCGGTGCGTTTGCTGTTGCTTTTGATAACCGATTCACCGTGTAGCAGTACTACAGTTAACAAATTTCAGATAATATTCATGCTGAACATTGCATTAGGTCCTAAGTAGCATTGATCGATTCTCTTCCGTTAATAACTTGAGCACATAACCGTTTCTTGTATTTGTCGTATTAGATGCTAGATAAAAACTTCTTTCATCGATATGTGTGTTGAAAATACCTTGGCCGAGTGGCTTCAAAGAGAAAGTCGACGAAGAGAATCTTGTCAATGTTACTTAGGACCTAATGCAATATTCAGTTTGAATTGTTTCGCATAGCTGTAGCAATGTAAAGAGATAATCGAAAAAGAGAATCGACCATTACAAGTAGGCCCTTTTGAACGCTCACTGCCGAATTTCAGTACCTAGCACTGAAAAAAAACTCGACGGTACCTTTATTTATGCTAAGAAAATAGCATTGTAAGTCCCTCCTACTTAGAAAATTATGCTATCGAACGGCTTACTATGCCTCGCCCCCATCAGCAAAAAATCTGGGATTTTATAATCCGTTCTATGGCATAATTTTCCAAGTAGGATGGACTTCCATAGCTAATTTAAAAGCATAAATAGAGGTACCGTATGATAATTTTGCTTGGTACAGGAGTCTGTAATCTGTGTAAGGAAATCTTTTTTTTTCTCCACAGAAACACCCCGTTTTATAATGCAAAATAATGGATGTGCGTTCATTAAACGCACGAAATCTTAAAAATAAACCATATTTAGTATTTTTTTATTCAATCAATAGATTAAAGATGTACCGAGAAATGAATGAAGGGATTTCAAGCTAAAATGATATGATTGCGAGCTATTGACGATCAATATCGAAATTTCGCCTAAATTTCCAACCCGTTTTGTGTGGTGTGCTGATGATTTTCACTGTTGCCCAATGATTAGGGAACTTTCATAAATAACGTAGTAGTTGAGGGAGGAGAGGGGTTTCAGAAGTTGGGACCGGCCATGTATTAGGTGTATTGCAAAACACGCTCCGAGGGGGTTAATTCTAATGTCTGAATTCCAGCCAGGAGGTGGATCTCATAATTTCTAGTCCGCGGGGGACTGTTTAGGACCATCCTAAGGATTTTGTTCTGGATCCTTTCGAGTTTAAGGTGATGGCATTTTACGTAACTCTCCCAGATTGGCATACCGTACTCGATTACAGGAAAGATGATTTGTTTGTAGACAGCAAGCTTATTTTTAAGAGACAGGGTTGACTTCCTGTTGATAAGTACGGATCTTCCAGCTGTTGAAATATTCAGACAGGACGTCCAGGCCTCTCTGAAGTTTGGCAGTCAGAGCTCCGATGACCCTACCCTTGTAGACGATGGATGTGTCATCTGCGAACAGAGACAACGATCCACCATCAGGGAGAGCCGGCATATCGGAGGTGAACAGGTTGGATAAGATGGGGCCAAGGATGCTTCCTTGTGGAACCCCGGCACCGATGTTGAAAGCATCCGATGTGATGCCATTCAGAGAGACTCGGAACGTTCTGTCTAATAGATAGTTGTTTATTATCTTCATTAGGAAGATTGGAAGACCGTACTGCTGCAAGTTGAACACCAGGCCATCATGCCAGACATTGTCGAACGCTTTTTCCGAAAACCAAACTGTTCCTCGAGTAACAAGTTGTTTTCATCGGCAGATGTCAGGAGCCGGTGGTACACTGCTCTTTCGAACAGTTTTGATAACCCTGAGAGAAGGCTGATTGGTCGATAACTTGAAGGAGAGGACGGATCCTTCCCAGGTTTCCGTTGTCTAATGAGATCTTTGGTAGGGCTGTCAAGGTTCAGAGTGTTGCTCACCTGTCTGGATACTGGCACGTGTTGTTCCCTGGCCCGGGAAATCGCCTCCTCGATGGTTTGTAGACACCGGTCAACATCTTCGGACGTCCCCGGTTGGACATCGTAGTCGATAGTTGTGTCGACGCAGTGTTGATATTGCGCCCAGTTGACTCGATGGTAGTTGCGCCGGGAAGCTTCGAATCGGTTAACCGAGGATCCAACTTCGGCCACCACCGGATAGTGGTCCGAGCTCAGCTCCTGGAATGCCACAGGTTGCGAGATGTTGTGTCCCATGTTGCTTACGAAGATGTCGATGGTCGCATGGGCCCCAGACCAACTCAAGCGGGTGGGAGAGTCCGGGGCTAAGATGGTATAGTGGCCCTCTTGCAGGTCTTCATTGAGGATGATGCCGTTTCTATTGCTCCGACCGTTGCCCCAAGATTGGTGTTTTGCGTTCAGATCGCCAACGATGATAAAGTTCCCGCTCCTCCGGGTGAGTTTGATGATGTCTTTCCGGAGAGCCACTGACGACCCGTCCCTGATGTTGGTTTGCTTGGGGCAGTAGGCCGCGATGATGGTGATGGTGAACGGAGAATCGTCGACAGATTCACCTGAGACAGCACCAGCGTATGATAAACCAGGGGTGGTGGATGAACCTGGAATTGGCTGGGCCGCAGCAACAGAGAGACGATGCTGAACTGTCCGACTGTTGGGAACCATTTGGATTCTCGCAGGATTGGTTTGTTGGTTGTTGAGCGGAAGCGGGGCTAGGTTCGGAACATGTCGACGGGGCTGGAGAGCTGGGTACTGGACTTCCGTGAGTACATGAGGCAAACGATGATTACGGAGGCGACCGAGCTGGTTGTTGATTGTGGCCTTCCGACGGATATTAATGAACTCCACTCGCTTGGGACATCCGCGATTGGAGGCTTGGTGGTTTCCACCGCAGTTGACACGCGTTGGCTCGATGTCATCGACTTGCTCACAGGACGCAGTTGAGTGAGTTCCAGCACACTTGCCGCAGTTTGTCTTCATGTGGCAATTTTTTGGTGCCATTGCCATATGAGAGGCAGTTCATACACTGCGTTACATCACGATGTTGGGGTTTGTAATGCTCCCAACTGATGATGACCTGAAACAGGTCCCGGATTTTGGATCTCAGAGCCGCAAGACTGGTGGATCCCTTCGTGAAATGCACCAGGAACAACTGATCACGGAAGCTGGTGTTTTGGTTGGGACGCCGGTTCATCGGGTACACTGCTTCAGGCTTGAGCCCGAACCGCTCCAGCTCGGATTTTACCGCAGTCGCCTCGAACGACGGTAATCCACGCAAAACCACCTTCAGTGGCTTGCTCGATGGCAGATCATGCGTGAAGAAGTCAACGTTGTTGTTCTTCAGGAAACTTCCTATTTGTTTGTACTCCTCCAGGCTGGAGCACATTATTTTGGTACCGATGCTGCAAAGCTTGAAGCGAGGCAGCAGCTTGTGTTTTGCCAGTTCGGCACCGAGCTTGGCAACATCCTTCACCGGCGTGAAAAGCAGGAGAATCCGCTCTCGTCTTGCAATGGGAACGGCGTCACCATCGCCATTTTCTTCCGGGAGTACTGGATACTGGTTGGCTTGTTTTCCGGCGTCATCCTGCGACGCGCTGCGCTTGATTAGCACCTTCTTTGAAGGGCCCGCTGCCGGCTCATTGACACGTTTACGCACCATTTTTTTCGTGTTTGCAAGTTCAATTAAATTTGCCAGAAAGCGACACTTCCACGGCGCAACGCGACAGCACAAAACGAAACGAAACAAAATCGAATCGAGAACTCCAGCAAAAATACGGACTGAACAGCTCGACAGTCGAGCAAAGAATGAGTTGAGGCACATTAGCAGCGCTGTTTTATAACTTTTCAGATTCAAGCAGCACGATGTACAACCAAATGGTACTCGATTATCACGTCTGGGTTTGAGGAGAAGGTTTATTTCATGAAAACAGTGATAAAATTATCACTTTTTATCTGTACATTTTTGAAACAGTTTTTTATATGAAAAAATGAAAAAGCATTTTTTGTAACAGTTTACGAGAATTATTTCCTATCGATGGATGTATTTGGATTTTAATTTCATCTATAAATGACAAACTTATATGCGTTAAAAAACTTACACCTTTTCGTGACGGTCGCAATTTTAGATTTACCCCCAGTACCTTCCCGTAAGACGTAGTCTACGTCAAAAGCTATCGCCTTAAAGATAGTCGTTGTTGAAAGGTTCTTATGGTCAAGTTGATGTCAAACAATTCAAAAACGTCGTTAAAAGCACTACACATAAATCTAATGGGGTCTTGTTGTCCATATTGAACTTTTCGCGATCCAAGATGAAGGAAATCCCGCTGGCAAAGTCTCCTCTCTGGTGCGTACAAATTAATTTCGATCAGGATATTCGGGGCATCAATTTCTCCTTTCAGCATTTTCGCCACAAAAACCGCTTGAGCGATGGAGTGTCGTCGTTCTAGCATAGGGTTACCATATCAAAAACATGAAAAGGAGGACATTTCATTTGAGGTTTGGAGAATAAGGAGGACAATGATTCATTTTCTTAACATTAAAGGAGGACAATGAGTTTTTATCAAACGTTTTATTTAATAATATGTGCGCTATTTCAAAATTCATGATTTGCAAAGGTTCAATTGAGATTTTTAATATTTTGCAGTCGTAACCAGTTCAATTCATTTTCTCGTTATACTTCTGAAAAATGCATAAAACTAGCCTTGATAATTCATTTTTGATACTTGGAATCTTGCCTTAAAACCATTTCAACATGTACAAAAATCAGGATACATGTCATCGCTGATTGACACCAACATGAAACATTAAAGCAACCTGTTAATTTTGACAATGATTCAGCATAGGACTCTAAGGCCACTGCCATAGTGGGAGCGAAGAGGCGCGCTTAGCGTTCTATTCAAAAGAATTCCTATGATTGATATTAAATATTCCTTACATTCGATTTCGCGCTTCGCGTGCCTCTTCGCTCTCAGTATGGCAGCGGCCTAAACAAATCAAGCGTATCAAATCGACGTATCTGCTTTTGTAAAAAATCTCTTCAATCGACGATTTGTCTTAATTGCTAACTCACCCACGCAAACAAACACCATCATCAAATAGGGAATCTTTCCTAGATACGTCGATTTGAATAGTTTTGCTTGAAATACCTAAAATTCCATAGAACCAGAACGTCAAAATCGAACACATGTTGGAATCAATCTGTGTGTGGCTGTGGCTGTGTTCCATTTGGTGAATTTAAACTTAAATTTGACAGATAGATAATTTTCTAATAAACCTGCAATTGTACCAGACACACTACATACGATCAACAACAGGAAGAATTCATTTTCGAAACTTCAAATTTAAGTAAGAATTCAGAAAAAGGGACCACAGCCTAAGGAATCAAATAAGCTCTGCAAACAACGCTCTTTGAAAACAATTTAATGAATATGTTACTGGAAAAATACAAGGATCTAAAAGGAGGACATTTTCGGGCAAAAAGAGGGTGTATACAAATTATTGAAAAAGGAGGACATGTCCTCCTTTAGGATACCATATGGTAACCCTATTCTAGCATCTCTAGTCCGAGAAGATGGCAACGTTCCTCATAGGGTGGTAAGTTGGAAGGATCATACCATGGGAGAGTGTATTCGTAGTGCGTATTGAACGAAATTGTTCTGCACTGATTCGATCCTAGCCATCCCATTTTCATGATACGGGCAACCACACTTGACTCCAAAATTGATCGTACCAGCGAGCAATTCAGGGATCGTAGGCAAAGTGGATCCTGGAACTCTGCAGAAATTTTGAATATGAATCTAAGCTGCCTATTCGCTTTAGAGATTACATCGCTATAGTGCATTCGACATATAAGAGCGGTATCTAGCATTACACCCAAGTCTCGTATTTGAGTTATTCGTTGTAGAGGCTGTTCTGCGATAGAGTAGTCAAAAACAAACGGTTTGATCTTTCGATGGAACGAAATGATACTGTATTTCGAAATGCTAACCGCCATGAAATTACGAGAACACCACATTTCAAAGCAGTTTCTATGTAGCTCAAAACAATCTAGTAGATTCCTAATTATCATGTAGATCTTGACATAGTCCGCGTAAAACATTCGGCTTCCAGGTGGCAGCATAAGTTCGATTTCATTGATGAATAGTACGCATAGTAGTAAATCAATAAGTAACTCATTAAGTAAGCCAAATGTGATTAGGCCAAAGTGCGCCGAAGGGTCATTATAATATCACTATTTTCTTAAATTCTGCACCGCAAACCCTAACCACCTGTTTCTCTTCTTAGGAAAATCGATACTGCCTGATCCCATTCATCATCATCATCAGCTTCGATTGGGTATCGTATTTCGTGCACAACCTTGACCGATCCCTGCCCAGTCACGTGTGGCTTCTGACATCAGGTAACGAAGCCAATCCTTATCACCCAAAAGTTCATTCAGTTACACCATTTCGCATAAATAGATTTGCTCCTGCCTCTGGTGGATTCTCATTAATCAAATAGAAAGTTGTAATCGTATTTTAAACTCTGCTTCCCTACTTCTTCTTCTTCGACAGCATTTTTCATCTACATCTTCGTCGCCTTGCTCGGATTGTTCGTGCTGTTCGGGATGAAAATCGAACCACCCAAAAGCGAGCGGAAATTTGTCAAGTTTGATGCAGGCGTCAAAGATGATGCCATTGTGTGATATGGCTGGGTTTGAATTGGCGGCGACATTTACGGTGTAAATATGTGTACAATGTGTTTTTTTTTCTATGAACAATAAAATTACAAGGGAATGTTGTTTACTTGTAAATCTTATCTTTGTTGTTGTAATTTTCCATTGATGACAAGCGATGTCAGCTTTCCGATAGTGTTGTGAGTTTACGTAGGCCAGCTTCGGTTCGCCCAAAAAGCGCATTACACTGAAAAATTGGACAAATCACATCAGGCATAACATTTGATAACGGCACAAAAGCATTTGTAAACAAACATTCTAAGGCCCTTTACACGCGAACATCAACATCATCGGATAGGGGCAACTATCACCTTTCCGAAAGTGGTATTGGTTTACGTGGGCGAACTTTGATTCACGTGTAAAGGGCCTTAGAATGTTTGTTTACAAATGCTTTTGTGCCGTTATCAAATGTTATGCTTGACATTTTGATTAAAAAGTAATCATTTTAATATTAACCCAGTTTAATCATGCTGACTTTCTAAAAACTGATCAAACTTGATTGAATTTTAGTCTTCTCTGGGTAAAATTTAATCATGTCCATGGTTATTTCCATGAAAGTGTTAGATATGATTAACAATGTCAAACTTGTTCATAACCTCGTTCGCGTTTGTTTGGCGGTGTCGATTCTGCTGTGCGAGTGCATGATGTTTTTCGCGGTGATTCCGGATGTTAATGGAGGATATTTTCGGTGTCATCGGTAAAAATACCGCGGAAGTGCTTAAAGGTAAGATAGAATTAAAAAGAAGTCATTTCTCCATAAGAGTGCTCGACAATTCTGTCGACATCCTTCAATCATTCGTTGAGGAAAAAAATCCGGAAGTTGTCAGAATTTCTAAAAACGGCCTTATTTTGAAACAGCGTTTTTTTAATATATACCTGCTGACCCCGTTAAATATACATTTTTTACAATTCTAGGTGGAGTACGTGCTCTATTAAAGCTGTCAATTCACTAGCGTGCACAGAAATCTTGTTAAGGAGGGGCAATTTTTTATGGTGCATTTAATCTGGAGATGGGGAGTACTCCAAAGTGCGTTGAAAATGGTGCTGTCCACCCACCACTATTTCCCTACTGTTTAATTTAGCTAATTTTATTTATTATTTGCTCCGGTGGTGGTTCATCTTCTTCAATGCAAACTGCTTTCAGACAGCCATTGAAAATTGGCAATTTAATCGTATCGACGATGATGAATTGTCCCAAAGTACCGTCAGTCGGGGTGACAAAAAATGATGCATGAACATTCAACATGTTTTAAAGATGATATAAAAGACTAACCCAAAATTATTGCAACGCACATAAACAGCTGTAACTTTTTAACCACGGTAAAAAATGACTTGAAATTTTCAGAGAAGATTCTTAGACGAATGTTTAGTAAGACAACAATAGACCAAGGTTCAATGGCAAACTAATACCCACTTTTCAATTAGGGAATCTAAAAGCTGTCTTTAAGCTTTGTACGGTTGCCAAAAAGTCCATCCTCAGAATTCCTTTTCGAAATTTTTAGAGCTCTATGAGCTCTTTTGAAATTCTTCTCAGAAGTCCTCTGGAATTATTTTTAGAACTTTTCTTGACTTTTACTCAGAACACCTTGGAACTGAAATTCGCTTAGAATTTCAGAAGATTTTCCTTAAAAAATGTTATCGGAATGAGCTAGAAATTATCGGTAAATTATGAAATTTTTTCTTCACAATTCCTTTGGAATTTCCCTTAAAATTAAATTTTCTCGGTATTCTTTTCGGAATAATCTTGGCACTATCTGCTAGATTCACTAGAAACTACACACACAATTTTTTTGGAATACTCCCCAGAAATCCTTTGGAACTGTCTCAGAATTCAATATCCTTGAGGCTCTTCTAGGTTTTTTTAGAACTCTCCTAACAGCTCTTTTGAAATTCTTCTCAGAAGTCCACTGGAATTATATTCAGAACTCTTCATAATTTTTTCTCAGAACACATTGGAACTGAATGAATTTTCTCGGTATTATTTTCGAAATTGTCTTGTAACTATCTGCAAAGGGCACTAAAAATTATCCACAGAATTTTCTTTGAATTCTCCCCAGAAATATTTTGGAACTGTCATAAGAATTCAATATCCTTGAGATTCTTCTCGGAATATTTAAGAACTTTTTTTTTTTCTCAGAACACCTTGGAACTGAAATTCCCCTAAAGTTTCAGAAGAATTTCCTCTGCATTCTCCAGAAAGTCTTCCCCGAATGAGTTTGAAATTATCATCGGAACTCCATTGAAATTTTTCTCAACATCCCTTTGGAATTTCATTCAAAATTTGATTCTCTCGGTTTTCTTTTCGAAATTATCTTGAAACTATCTGCAGGATTCACTTTTCTTTTAGAACTTTCATCTGAATTCAATACCCTTGAGGATCTTCTCGGAAATCAAGTTTAAGTTGTCCGCCCATTGACCAAAACGTTGTAGTTTTTCTACACACTTAGAAATAACATATTTTACACGTGACGCAATCCGTCTTTGACATAAAGAATGAGACGTAAACAAACATGAGTTCGTTGCTCGACGAAAAGTATGTTTGATTGAGGTATATTTCGCGTCTTTTATGACTCAACTTTATGTCAAAATTGACGCTCGTATATGTCACTCTGAATTTACATGATTTTTTCTAAGTGTGTACCATAAATGTTCAATAAAGCTTGTCCCTCCATTCACTAGAACTGTGCAATTTTTAAATCAGGCCTCTTAGTTATAAAAGGAGGGGCAATTGCCCCACCCTGTGCACGCCAGTGACAGAATTATCTCAACAAGGACGAATATTGATTTCGTGATGCCGAGTCTAATGAATGTTCCTCCGTGCATTTATTGCAATGCACTAGCTTTCGCTATTGGGATTTAATTTGTCATCGTAGAAGGAAAGAGCATTGATTGCGGGGACAGCTTTTTTACAGCGTTTGATATGTTGTATAAGACATATAAAACGTATATCAGGCGTATAAATGCAGCCGAATTGCTACCGTCAACCGAATGGTAGAGCTTATACTAGCAGCTCTGAAGAGAGACAGTTAAATCTTCATGACTAAAATAAAAAAAAGAAAATAATGCTCAGAAATAAAAGTTAAGATTGTAAACAGATAATCGCACCGCCAAAATCATACACATTCAAAAGCTTAAAAATAGAATAAATTGATTGATGAGCATTTTAGTAGAATAATCGTATACCTTTTTACGTTGTTTTCTCCTTTGAATTAAAACTACCTAGTAGTAGAATTCAAATGAGAAAACAACGTAAAAATGTATTAAAAATAGATATATAAAGAGAAAACACAGCTATGGTTATGAACAACAAATGAATCAGCATCCGAAGCTTCCTTCGCCGGATAACTTCTAGCAGTTCTCAACGCCATATTTAAGGGTAACACGGACATAATTCGAACGTGGAAGACAGCGAAAATCATACCTGTCCGCAAACCCGGGAAGGACCCAACGCTAGCTTCAAGCTACAGACCAATCAGCCTCCTTTCAGCGCTAAGCAAATTGTTCGAGAAACTTATTCTCAATCGTTTGCCCAATTTTGTAGAGGAAAATAACATTGTCCTACCGGGACAGTTCGGGTTCAGCAAGGGGCACTCCACAAATCATCAGCTAGTACGGGTGATGAATAACATCCGAAGTAACAAGGCTGTATCCAAGTCCACAGCCATGGCATTGTAAGACGTTGAGAAAGCGTTTGACAATGTCTGGCACAATGGGCTTGCATACAAGCTTTGTAACTTCAACTTTCCTTTGCATCTTGTTCAAATCACCCGTAACTACCTTCAGCAAAGGTCGTTTATGGTATCGTTGAATGGCTGCCTTTCAAACACGTTCTCCATCCCAGCAGGAGTTCCACAAGGAAGTCTGTTGGGCCCTTTGCTTTACAGCATCTACACTTCCGACATTCCTCCCCTCGGAGACGGTTGCGTGTTCTTCCTGTTCGCAGATGATACCGCAATAACCGTTAAGGGTAGGATGCCACGCGAAATAACAAACAAGCTCCAACGATGTCTTGACACCTTTGCTGATTATTCCACCACGTGGAAAATCAAAATCAATCCTTCCAAAACACAAACAATTATGTTCCTCCATCGGCAATCACCCAAACTAAAACCGGCTCCCTCTTGTACAGTAATCATGGATGGCACAAGGGTTGAGTGGTCCACGGAAGTAACCTATCTCGGGATGTTGTTTGACGAAAAGCTCCTATTTCGCTCGCATGTGGAGAAAACCGTAATCAAGTGTTCCGCCTTGGTTAGGTGTCTGTATCCGCTGATCTGCCGCAGATCTGCCGCAGATCCCGCCTCTCAAGGGTGAACAAACTGGCTGTCTACAAACAAATCATAGCACCTGCGATCCTCTACGCAGCTCCGGTGTGGGAATCATGTGCACAGACTCACAGGAACAAAATCCAGGTCGCTCAGAATAGAGTGCTGAGGATGGTACTTGATCGTCCTTTCGACACTAGAATAACAAATTTACACGAAGAGGCAGGCATTGCGAAAATAGATTCCAGAATTAACGAAATTAAAACTAAATTTGCACAAAAATGTAATTTATCAGAACATGCTTTGATAAGCAATTTGTATATAGTAGATTAGGTGTATATAGTAGTTGTAGGTTAGTTGTAGTTGTTAATAGTAGTTATAAGTAGTCTCCTTTTTCCAATTCAAATCAAACCAATCTCACCAAGGTGGTCATACTTTAAAAACAGACCTGATAGGACTAGGAACTGTAAATATTAATTAAAATCTCAAATGTACTAAAGTTGAAAAGACGCATCTGTGTCACTTTAAAATTCATACATGTAAACCACACAAACACAAGAAATAAAGATCATTTAAAGTAAAAAAAAAAGTCATGATTCGAACGACCAGCATTGCACTGCAACAAATTGAATGTAAAATGATTGAAATTTGTTTCAGAATGTTACTGAAAATCTTTAAATTTAATCAAGAAATGATTGAATATTAGTCAGTACCTATTATTAGTGATTTAATCACTGCAACATTGAAAAATGAGCAAT